AGTTTAGGGTCTCAAGTGGGCACCCCAAGAACCCAGACTCCAGTCCAGGTGATGCAACAGCACTAGGTTTTTATTGAAGCGACTGTACAGACGGGCTACTCTTGTCCTGAGAGCAAGAGCCGGATCTTACTGTAGCCACATGGGTGCTTTTAAAGGAAAAACCCACAAAAGCCATAAGATTACAATTCCCATACAATTTCGTTTCACAAAATCATGGTCTGATCACAGAGTGAGTACAGTCACATCCACATGTACATTCTTCCTGAAACCTCAAGGGGGGCATCAGGGCAGGAGTAGAGTTTACACAAAGGTCACAGTGGTCCTTCCTGGAACACTTGCAATTATCCCAGTCACAGTTGAGCACATCTTTTAACAGAAATTTTTTTACATTGTTACATTGTTACAGGGGTGGTTGAGAAATGATTGAGTCAGCTTGCTCTTGGAGCTAGATTTTTAGTTTCTCATTTCCTGGGGCTTGGTGGTGTAAGCCTGAAGGGTAAGGGTCTTTCAACTAGATAGAGAAGATGATATTCTCAACTAAAAAAATCATAATAATTGAGGGAACAGACACATTTACTGACAAATTACAACAAATTTAAAGGTATTTATCCTAAGAGCATGAAACACCCAAATATATTTAACTAAAGCAAAATAAAGATTGAAAAAAATGTAGAATTTGTGTTATCCTGCTCCATTTTCAAAATGATGGAAAGGTGACTGGTGACCCTCTTCAGAGTCATTTTAGAAGAGTTCACAGCAGAACTTGATTGATTGATTCATCTTTACTTTTTGACAAGGCTGAACTTTTTGTGGTTATTGTTGTTTTGAAAATTTCTTTTGGTAGGTTTTAAATTTTTTTAATATAAGTAAACTTTAACATAAAGATACAATTACACCTCTCTTTTCTTTCCTTCCTCCAACCTTTCCCATGTGCCTTCCACCACTCTGACTCAAAACATGGCCTCTTTTTATTTGATTGTTATTGCTACACTCATACATGCACACTCAACCCATCCCTTTGATTCCATGAGAATATTTTATTTTAGGGCTGCTACCCTTGATATACCTGCATATTTTCTAATCTAACTGTGCTCCATATTTTTATACCCACAGAGAAGTTTAACTCTCACTCCTTATCACAGAAACTCCTCTTTACAACAAGCAAAGGCCATAACAGAAAATTACAACCTATCCGGTTACAGAGATAGATTTTGAGGATCTCAGCCCCAGTGGATACATCATACAATATAACTTCTGCACCAAAGGCTCAGAGAACATGTTGGAAGATGAAGCAGGAAAACAAAACAAACAAACAATCAAACAAAAAAAGAGAAACAGGAAATATATTGTGTGAATGTGTCTCCTAGATATGACAGGGAAGCTTCACACATGATACCTCACCAATATGGCTGCCCAAACCAGAGATGGACAATGAAAATATAAACAGACATGTTAATATAGAATTGGGGGAATCTCATTGGTCCCATGCCTAGACAACGAACTACAGGAACCTAATTTCTGAGAAAGCGAGAATTATCCTCTCCCAGTGTTGAGTCCAATAACTGGTTAATCAGTACAAAGTGGTCAGCCATGACACCTTTTACCTCCAGTAGCTCATTCACAAAATATAGTCAAAGTAGTTATTTGAGTTAAAGAGAAGCAGAAGTACATGGAAAAATGACAACGTTCTCAATACCTATAGAAAATGCCACCATAGGGAACTTCCAGGATTGTTTGCTGTTTCCCACAGTTTCTAGAAATAAATTCATGGATCAAATGACCTTCTTTTGTTCTCCTTCTCAAAATCTCTTCTAGTATCTTCTAGCCAATTATGATCTAGTAATTTATAGAACAGGGGATTCTGCAAATGTAGAATCTACTTTATCCAAGTTAGGCTAGTACCTTTCAGCACATTTCTCAAGGAAGTGAAAAAAGAGGTTTTGCTGAAGTATGTTAAAATGAATGGTCACATATATATTAAAACAACTTTATTTCTAAATACAACACTTCATCATAATCAGATGAGTCATAGCTAGCACAGTTCCTATTATGAACTGGGCTTTATGGATAATGAAAAGTAATGTATATGTTATAGTCAGAATGTATTCAGACTTTATTTTTTACAGGATAAGTAGTAATCTAAACTATTTACCAAGTGTAGATAATGAAACTATGAGCAAAAGTACATGCATCTATGTTTTCTAGCCCTGGGTATCATGCAAACTAATGCTTCTCCCTTAGATTACTGCATCTGGAGCACTGGAATCTGTGGATAGGTTAACTTCAAGAACAAAGGGAATTGTGAGTACATAAGTAATTAAGGCTGCAAAGTAGCTGATCCTTAAAACTGAGATATGATTACAGATATGTGAGTGAGCTAAAGGGAATAATAATCTCACTTAGCCATGGGAAAAGAGAAGTGGTGATTGGAAAAACTGTGTGAGAAAAAGAATCAGGCAGCCACCACCACATCTTGGAAAGTCCAGTTAGCAGGAAATGAACTCTACAGTAAGTACATCAAGTTCAGGGCTGGAGAAGAAAAGACAAAGGATGTTCCTTTGGAACATGATTGAGCTCATTTTTATTTATCTGTTTATAAATGAGATAATGAATGTGCTTGACTTCAAGCCTCTGAGTCTTCAGTACTGAAACTACAGTAAGGAACCACCAACTCCCAATCTGACCGTCATGGATTCCTTCAAGAGAAACTTCAAGAAGAGAAGTTGCACATTGCACATCTCCCACTTAACAGAGCAATCTTACCCAGTTTTTGCAAGTCTTTTCCCCAGTCCTCTTTCTATTTTGGCAACATTTTTTTTAAGTTTTACGAAACAAGTCTTACATGGTATATATACTTTTTATCTTCACTTCCCAAATGGTGTGCGTTAATGAGTTTCATTCGTTAATGAGTTTCTTCATGTAACTAGGAAATTGTTATTTCTTCTCACAATCAAACACTTAAATCTAACTACTGTTCAAAGAAGAAACTGTAGCTTTGGAAAATATTTCAGAAAATATGCTGACCTTCACTGTTCCAGAGCAAACCTGTGGCCCCTTTAGGGCTGCAACTATGTCTTAGTATCCTTTGTTTTAGTATCAGCTGTATGTACTTTTCCCCATTTTTTACCAAAATTGTTTCCCCCTTTACAATTTTGTCTAGATTTTGCTCCTTCAAACCTCACCTTAAACATGTCTATTCTTTTGCTGTTGTTATTATCATTATTATTGATTGTTTTGGCATGAGAACTAAGTATAGTGTCTCACATTTGCTATGCAAGCATTACCTACTTGAACTATACCCCTCTCCTGCTGTTCGTGTTTTTTCTACCTTTTTTTATGAAAATAGAGATGATTGAATTACTCAATCAGACCTTGAACTCACTCTGTAACAACTGGTCATTTTATCTGGGCAGTGACTTCTTTCAGGGAGCTTTTAGAGAAACGGTTGATAATTTTATCAGATCTTTTATGTATAGTGTATTGCATTCCAATCTCTCCTTAGGAATGTCCTAGGACAGTAACATTTAATATAGAATCTTATACTGAGTAACAGGAAACAGCCATTTCATACTCTATTGCAAAGGAATATAAGTAAGTAGACTGAAAAGGGACCTGAGAGATAATACAATGCACTATTTTCAAAATATATTTTCCTAATACAGATTGACATAAACACAAAACTTTGAATAGGCTCATCAGGGACATAGCAACCTGATTTGTTTTTAGAAAATAGTGTTGAGAACAGTCCTGTGGAAGACACAGAAAAGGTAGAATTAATGACTTGAGATTTCTGAGAGAAGATGAGGAAGGAATGTAGACTAGGAGGAAATAAGTCATGGGACAAGTTAACTGTAACACACTGAAGCCCAAAGAGTTGCCAGTTAACTGTAATCTACTGGGTGTTCTCAGAGTACATCAGTCAACTGCAACCCATTTGGACCTTTAGGTTTATCAGCCAACTGTAATCTATTGGTGCTTTCAGAGTTATCTGAGAAGGGTAAGGCTCTGGAACACACTGAGAGTCAAAGCTAAAAAGAGCCAATGGGAGTTTAGAGAACTGCCGTGAGTTCTTGTTGATAACTTTCAGTTTCAATCTCCAGATACAGGAGATGTCTGATCCAATAACAGTCACCAGGAGGAACCTCATGGGTTTCTTCTTCATGCAATGAATCTTCTGTAGATCTATTGGCTGTCTTAAAAGTATAGAACTGGAAGAAAGCTTAGAAAAAACGACCCAATAAACTGTGACAGCCATAAGTAATAGAAAGCTACAGTTAAGAATTCTTCTAAAAGAGACTGTATTTATGTTTCTTCCAATAAAACTTGATAGAGTTGAATGTTTCAATCATAAATTCTGTAAAATTATAAAAGGCAAGCAGTTTATGCATAGAGAAGAGTAAAACATTCTCTTCCTGTGAGTTCTGCTAATAAACTGCATGTGGTAGCAGGCCAACATTTTACCTATGATGCTTTGAAATTATTTTGACTGTTGCTTGAAAGTATATTTCATATTTTTATTACAGTTCATTTAAATATGTTTTTATAATTTGATTTTATTTGTAACATATTCCTTGGAATAAATTAAAGCCAGCTAAACAGTTACTTGGTAGAGTCAAAAGTAAATTATCAAACATCTTTCTGGATTTATGCATTGAAAGATAGTTTGAGGTATTTTTGGTATGTTCTTGATGGTCACATGCCATTAATACATCAAAAGTTAATATAGAAGACATTGAAATGTAATTTTCATACCCTTAGTCATAAAATTTGACATACCCCCTTTACATATATGTTATAGAACAGTACTAATAGTCAATATTATTTGGTGAATGAGTAAATCAATTAATGATTGTTAATATATTTAAAAGATACACTGCTAAAAGTTAGGGAATAGGAGTATAGAAAAAAAAACCCTTGACCCCGCCACCTGTGGTGGGCAAGGGAGCTGCCCCTCCCCCTTACCAGCTGCAGCACTCAGGAAAGTGGACCCTGCACCTCACCTGGGCAGTATAATAGAGCTGATCCTGTTGGTGGAGGTGTGGATGAGCCATGCTGGAAGTTGTTAGCATGGCAGAGCTGTCCCCATTACTCATCTGTCATGTGGTGGCATGAGTCAGGGAAAGATGCCCCCTCATTAACGCCTGAGGCAGGTGGAAGAGCGGGAAAGCTGTTCCTGTCCCTCATCAGCTGCAACCCTCCAGAGAGAGGCCCCTTCACCAGGCTTGGGAAACACAGTAGAGTTGGCTCTAGGGTATAGAGGTAGGAGAACAGACCCTGAGGACATGAAAGCTGGAGAACTGAGCTTGCCCCTTGCTTCTGACTGCAAGGTGAACTAGCCAAGGCATTGCTGGAGAGATCACCCTGGTGGCAAAGGGAGGGGAGAGCTGGCATGCTGAGGAACCCTGAAACTATCCAGGCCCAGAACCAGGTTATTTGTTGACCCTTCCCCCACCCCATCTGTGAACTCCTGGAGCCATGGGCAGTTGAGGGAGGCTATCCTATCCTATGGATCCAGGGCTGCAGGATCTTCAGGAAGAGTCCCAGTGAGATCCCAGCATGGAATGGTGTAGCAGTAAACAGGCACCTCAAACCAGATCATTGATTCTTTTCAATAAATGCCTGCATGTGAAAATGTAAGGACAGAGAGTTTTGTTGTGTGATTCACTGTGTAACAATACAGCTTCCATGACAGCATTTTCACCGTTCTTCCCTTTCCCTCCCTTTTTTATCTTAAATTTTATTTTATTTTACTGTTGGAGTGGGAGCAAGATGGGTGGGATTGGGAAGAACGAGGTAAAAGACACAAAGAATGAATAAAAAAAAAGTTCGTTTTTTTAAAACAGTATAGAAAGGGGTTAGACATAAAGATCAATGCTAAAGTATTTATATGTAAGATATTCATGACCCTTCGCTCAATTGCCAACATTTTGGGGGAAAAAATGAGAAAACAAACTCACACTTTTAGATAATAAGAAAAATATACCATGAAATAAATTTACCCTAACCTATGGATATAATATGTGAAACACACACAGGGAAATGCAGATAAAATATTGTTAATTTTAAATAAGGTAAAATCCAGTAAAAAGCATAATATTCTTAACCAATACAGTACTGACTAATAATTTTATCTTTTCTTTCTTCTTTCTCTTTCTTTCTTCCTTCTTTTCTTCTTTCCTGTGGTGGTATTCTAATTGTACTGAAATGTGATTTTGATTGTATGTTAATAAATAAAGTTGCCCGGAGGTCAGAGCTCAGAGCTAAAATCTCACCCTTCCGCCTGCGGTGTCCCAGCTTCCCGAAAAGAGAGCTATTTCCTGTGTGTAAATAAATTTTCCAGTCATTCTGCCTTCTCATTGGTTGTAAGCCCAAACACGTGACTGCCTCGTCACTGTCTGAATGTACAGCCCCACTAGGTCTTAAAGGCATATGTCTCCAATGCTGGCTGTATCCCTGAACACACAGAGATCTATGGGATTAAAGGCGTGTGCCACCACCGCCACACTCTGGCTATGGCTCTAATAGCTCTGACCCCGGGGCAACTTTATTTATTAACATACAATCAAAATCACATTTCAGTACAATTAGAATACCACCACATTTTCCTTTTCTTCATTCTATCTTCCTCTATTTCAATGAAATAGTGAAATATAATGTCATAGTGTGTGTTAAGCCAAATATGTATCTCATAAAAATTTTGAAGTATCAAAAAAACAGATTAATTCCAGTAACTTGGTTTTTCCTTACTAGGATGGTTTCATAAGCTTAAGTCAGTCAATTACATGTCTAAATAAAAGTGTAAAATTAATGTGAACCTTGTATCAGAATCTATCTTAAGTGATACTGGCAAAAGAATATAAAAATAGATTAGCAGGAAAAAACTGAGAGAAGAAAAATTGAATCATGCCCATTGAGTAAACTGGTCTCTGATACAAAAACCAAAACAACACAGTGGAGATATTGAATATTTCACAAATGGCAGGAACTACTGGATACCCATAAATTAAAATGATGAATCCAGAACCAAATATTTTAAAAGAGTACAAAATAAAATTAACAAAAGATATTTTGTAAACCTAATTTTTTTATTGGAGACAAGCTAACATCCAACTAATCAAGATGATCTACAGCCGAATAAAAACTATCTAAGTGTAATACCAAAGTTCAGTTGCTGAAAAGAAAAGATTGGTAAACTTGATTTAATTAAAATAAAAATGTCTGTTTTGCACATCTTGTCAGAGAATGGAAAAAAAGAAGCCAAAGATTAGTACTGTGGATGATGAAATCATGTCAGCATACATTTGTCAGTTACAATACAGTACAGCAGTGTATTCTATTGATAAAATGTAGGTTATTCACATGTACAGAAATTGCATAGGTAATCTATGTGCCTCTTTCTCAATGTATGAAACACAAACTGCTTTTAAAAATTCTACTTGGCAAATAGAATATATCATTGCCATCATATATTTATTCATCAATTCCAATATAAACTAATTTTGTGGAGAAATAATACATAAATATTATAATATGATTTTATGTACTATATACAATATATAAAATACAGGAGACAAAATCATAAAGAAAGGCCACAAATATGTGGTAAAATGCTTATGATAAAAATAATAGAGGATACACTCACATACAAACAATGGTAAAAAAATACGCGTCTTATTTCTATTTAGAAATTAGAGAAATCGTTCAAGGTGAAGGATGGGTGCTCAACAGGGAATGGATGTCAGATAATTTGAAAATTCAAAATAGGTGATGGTAGGCATAGTTTTCAGAAGGACAACTTGGAACAGACATTCTTCCAAGTATATAACAAAGATAAGTCGATGAAAACAAGAGATAAATTTAGAAAGATTTCAGATACGTATCACTTGGTCAAGTTAAAATACAGAACACCCAGTGGAAATGACTATGTGATGCTTAAAGCAACACAAAATGCTGGAAAATATTGTATTTGAGGTTAAGAAAAATGTAGGTTCAAATATCAATTGTGGTCATGAATATAACTATAGAGAAGCAGGGTGGTTATTCAATGTACTAAGTGAATACCGAGATGAAATATGAGTTCAGAAATTTTTATAATATAAAGGTTACTGTAAAGATATCCTTATGGTATTACAGGAAAAGTGACTGGTGTGTTGATTAATACTTGGTAAAAATTTTTCCACTGCTTACTGATAGCAGTGGAATAGAATAAGGAGTTAATTGAAAAACAGTGTTGCAGATTTTATGAGGAAGAAACAGGGACTCATTTGAAACTGTCCTTTGTTCTCATTCCTAATGCATTCTACTGAGGACATGCTTTGTTTCTATATAAATCTGCAGACAATGGGCTTATAGTGAGGTTCCTCCAGGGATAAGCAAAGAAGGCACAGGACTGAGTGGTAAAGATTCTGCGTCATACACATGTGGCCTATTCCTTTATATTGTGTGAATATATGTCACTGTGATTGGTTTAATAAAGAAGCTGATTGGCCAATTGCTGGACAGGTAAATGTTAGGCAGGACTGGAAGTCAAAAAGAGAGCACAGAGGAAAAGAAGAGGAGTCTCAAAAGTGAAAGGAGATACAGAGGAATCAGGAGAAGAAATTGCTGTACTGAGGAAAGGTACTGAGCCACGTGGCAGACCATAGATAAGACATATGGGTTAATTTAAAATGTGAGAGTTAGCTAGTAACAAAAGTGAGCTATTGGCTGAGCATTTATAATTAATAATAAGTCTCAGTGTGGTTATTTGGGAATTGGCTGGCAGGACAGAAAAGTTCACCTATATACACAAATTTGCTATTGTAATTCTCTGTGGATTTGATGCTCTGATAAGTCTTGTGCACCCTAAAATCTCCTGCAATAGAGATTTGAAACAGAATGTCTCCTCATTCACTCTGGATAGTTTGAATACACCTATTCCTTCCACTAACTTCTGCCTTCTTATCTTTTATATGAATCCATATTGCCAAGCAATATAGAGCTTAGATTTCAGAAGCATTAGTAAACTAGGAAAATTAAGATGCAAAAATATGACTTAGTTACATGATGAGGAAATGATACATTATCTATTAAAGTCATTCATTATTACATTCCAGCAAAAATACACAACTTTATTTCATTGAGTAGCTGTACAATGGTTGAGTGTCTACCTGAAGACATTCAAGTTCTAAGTTGATTATTAATCTACCAATAGTTAGAATAATTAGAATACTCTGTTTTTCAGCATTCTGATACTATTATTAAATTTCTATGAAAATTAGTTTATAAAATGGAAATATTTAGGAGAGAAAAAAGTTTCATTCTAAGCCTGGGGAGATTCATATTTAGATCTTTACTAATTGTACCCAATCATGTGGGCAGAGAACACCTTGAGAAGGGGCAGCTCACTTCATGGCCAGGAAACAAAAAAGAAGAGGACAAAGCTAGTGTGCCACAGTCTTCGTGAAGTGAAGTCATTTCAGTTAAAGAATCTGAAAGGTTTTCAACCCCTCCCTAATGGACACCCTGGAGACAACATTAGACCACTATTTCTGTGTGGCAATTTGTGGATGATCCTATCTATACTCATTAGTGAAGTAAAGAATTATATGAAGAAAACATGGTCATAAAAATGAGCACAATATTAATATTTTCATGACTTTAGCCTTGTACATGAATTCTGTCTGATATTTTTCTAAAAAAATTTTTCTCTCCCTTTTTGATAGTTATCACAATAGCATGAATGTAGCTTACAAATGGCCTTGTTAACAAGGAAAGGAGCATGTGGAAGTCCTCAGGTCAATATATTTTAAGAACATTAAATACTATACCCTCTCTTGAACTCCAGTGTTTAACCTTATTAAGTTTATTGGATGTCTATGGAATTCTCCAGCAAGAATGTTATATAATTTGCCTAACAATCTTAAAACATCTTCCCATTACTATTTTTTTCATCTAAAACTTGATGTAACATACCATGAAAATACCATTTTTTCTTTTTCCAGAGAAAAATAACTTGAATAATACAAACATAGAACTTAGAATGTAATGTAGAATTATTCTTAGAAATTCTTCATTTAGAAAATACATGTGAATTTCTGTGATGATAGACATGTTATCTTGCTTTTGTTTCCAGTGTACTAACCACTAGACACATGAGATAATTTTCACTTGAAATGTGGCTAAATGTTCAGAGCAATGGAATTTTAAAAAAATGATTTCATTTAAATTTAAATAGCCACATGTGGTTAATGGTTATTTTATTATACGGTACAGTTATAATCCATCTGAAGTACAATTTTAGACAAGTATTTCTGTCACATTCCTTGATAATAATTTTGATATATATGGAGACAGTTGCTTTTGACCTTAGCAGTGTGCATTTTAAATAGTTCAAACTAAATTTATTTATGCTTGACATTACTTTGTTGTGCTCATAAAGTGACATCCCCAAATTCAGCACTGTGGCACACTGAAAAATTTGACCTGAAGGTGACTGGAAACCTTTAGAAGCAAGATATCAATGGCCTTCCCCCTCCAATCTCACCTCTTCTGTGCTTCCAAAATGTGTTATGAATATCATAATTACTTTTCCTTAGTGGAGGTCAAGAATGCTTAACTCTTTCCTGTCAGGCAAGCTAGGAAACCTAGAAAGGCCATTCTCCTTTCTGTATCCAAGACCCTTATTCCAAAGGGCTCCTACTCTACTTTCAGAGTAGGCAATTCTACAATGAACTGTAGAGAGGAATCTGGACAGAACTTGCTGTGTTTTGGTCCTCTGTCTATGGTCATTAGGACATGCCTCATCTAATCAAATCAGCACATGGCCATTCAGTCATCAACAAACATAAACAGAGGAGCACAGGTTTCCAGGGGTGTTTGTGTCCTCATATATGAAGGCTCCCATATCATAAAATACATTTTTCTCAAGTAATCAATTTGTTACTCAGTGCCAGTCATGATCATGTAATGGGTAAAGAATCACATTAAAGTTTTATGATTCAAAACTTCATTCAATGGAAAAACAATAAGAAAGCCTTTGAAAACAAAAATGACATTTCAGAAATTAGTGGGCTACATATGCATACATACTGGAAGTTTTAAATTAAATAGCTTATTACAAATAGTATGAGAAGTATGGAGAGTAAAAATTTAATTTAAATATGTGATATCATGCAGTAATTTTCACTCAATATATTAATAATATTGAAAATGCTGTTGCTATTCAGGCCAAGATTAATTTGAAGATTATTTAAATTCATCAGAGAATACAGGAGCCATACAATCACTTTGGCACATTAAGATAAAGTAATTTCATAAGTATAAAATTCCA